TATATATATATATATATATAAAAAAAAATTTGCCCTACATGTAGTATTCTTAACCACTCACTTATGTCTCAGAGTAACTAAATGGTTTTAACTGACATCAAATAGCTTTGGCATCTTTAAAAAAAAAAAATAGTTCATACATCTAAAAACAATGGGTGTGCAAAGCACACACTGAACTGCCAGAATATTTTATTTGTCTACAATAATATGACTAGCTGGGATTTATTTTAAATTTCTCTTTCTAATGAAAGAAATTAGGGGCGTAAACAACTAGTCGACTTTCCTGTAAGCATAAGCTTATTGGATAGTAGTCTAGTGTTGCAACTAGTTGCTTCCCTGCCCCCCTGGTTGCCTCTGTATCAGAGGTAGCAAGGTGGGGGAGCAGGAGCTGTTGCTGTGTGGAGCTGGCTTAAAAGGTAGAGGCACAGCAGGAAACTGCATGCGTGGGGTCTGAAACAATCTCTGCTCACGCTGCTTCTGCTACAATACTTCTTTTGAAACATGGAATCCGTGTTGGGGCTCTTGCTTTTGAAATGTACAAGAGACCTGCCGGGACTCTTATACATTTCAAAGGCTCAAGTGTTGCAGTGAGTGCAGGGCCAATCCCCCACTGGCCCTGCGCTCCTTGTGGGGCTTCTGCTTTTGAACTGTAGCTAGAGCCCAATTGAGCTCTTTCTACAGTTCAAAGGCAGATTCACCCTTATAGACTAATCATATAGTCAATGGAAATCCCATCGACTGTTCGATTAGTTAATCTAAAGTTAACATCCCTAAAAGAAATGAAGCTAGAGTTGTGTTAAATGTTTGTTTAATGGCAGAAATGAAATGGTGGTACCAAATGTTGGCTACTTTGCCATTTCCTAAGCTGTTCTCAAATACTAGTGTATTCCTCAATGCAAGCGGAATCTAAGGTGTTTTACCTTCATGTGTAAGGTAAACTGAATTGTTAGGCAGTGATACTAGCTACTTCATTAGTAGTAACTGCTAGGATTCATTCTTCATAAGACCTCAGAACTTCAGCGGCTGTCACTGTCACTTTTGAGATTTCTGGATATTGTCAGGAATTCTGATGTCTACTTGTTTTGTTTCCTGGTAAATAACCTTGATTATTTATTCGGGCTGCCAGTTATATCTTCTGTTTCTGAATTTACAATCCTTGTTTGCAAGTGCAAATATGATCTGCAATTTCACTTTTTTGGGGGAAAATGTATACAGCAGCAGGCTGTTGAACCATATCCTTAAAGGGTTAAAAAAAAAATCTCAGTTCAAGGAAGATGCAGATTTTTTTCAGACATAATCTGATAAATATCCAGGGAGTGGGCAATATATATTCTATAACACTTCTGCTCAGTTACTTTGTATAACACTGCAGTGCAAATAAATAAATTCTTGCTTAAAAGTATTCCTATTTGCTTTTCAGATGGTATCGAGCGCCTGAGCTATTGTTTGGTGCTAGAATGTATGGTGTAGGTGTTGATATGTGGGCTGTTGGCTGTATATTAGCAGAACTGCTTCTTAGGGTAAGCTTCAAACACAAGTATTTCTTTTAATCTAAATATACTGTACATGGGTCCTTATGTATTTCCATCTTTTATTTTAACCTTTGTTTATAATCTCCTACTGTCTATTTTAGAGAGTCATTAACAGAACTGACATTTCATTTCACATCCATTTTTTATCCGTCATGCATTACTTGCATATCACTAGTGACACTCATTCCATATTCAACTTAAGTACAATATTGAGCAATGTTAAAAATACGTACTAGCTTTCCATGTGTCTTCCTTCCCCTACTAACCATGGACCAGCAGAACAAAATTTAAAAGTTAGACAAATGCTGACAATGTGGTTGGTCTCAAATTTTGTGCATGAACCACTTGTGGGTCATACATCTTCATTGCACTTTTTTTTTTGCTAGTAATTTAACTCATTAAAGTAGTTCCTTACCATACAGCTCCTTAGGAATAAAGGAGGAATCAAATTATTTCCATTTCTATTCAAAAAGCTAAACTTCCTTTAAAGTCGGATATGCTTGATGAAAATGATGATGAAGAGGGTTAATGAGGGGATGACAGTGTCCTATTGTATAATCTAGTCCAATCCCACAACACTGGATATTGCACTATAGCACATTTGCTATTACTTTGTCTAGTTTTAGACCGTTTTAAGAAACTTTTATCACAAATGCCATTGTGTCCCTTAAACAGCACTAAGAGAAAAATTGCCTTGATTTTTATGAATATCCTAATCATACGGACTTCTCAATTTTGATTTGTTACCCCCATTGTGCATGTAGTCATTAGGATTAACTAGTGAGCCCAGGCTTATTGGTTAATCATGTAAATGACTCCACACTAACACTCCTAATCAAAAGCCATGTTACTACAGTAATAGAATATTCTTCACAAGAGGACAAATCAAAGTTGTTCCCGGGGAGTGTAAGTTCATAAACTGATTAACTTTTAAATCAGAATGACTGTTGCATTTGCCTTCTTACAGGTTCCTTTTTTGCCTGGAGACTCTGATCTTGATCAGTTGACAAAAATATTTGAAACTCTAGGGACTCCAACAGAAGAACAGTGGCCTGTAAGTCCTTTAGCTAACAAGCCTATGTCAGCATTCTCTTTTTATATTCCTGTCAACTATTTGGATTAAATTTAAAGTTGTACCAAAATATTTATTTGGGAATTACTTAAAGATGCATCTGGATTTACAAAACAAAGTACAGAGGTACAAATAGTCAGAGGGTCTCCAGATTGCTTTTTGGATCCAATATCCGCTAATTTAATCGCATGTGGTAATTTAAGAGGAAGCAACTTGAGCTTCTCATTAGGGATGTAGTCGATTACTCCCTCGACTAGATGCTTCTCTCTCCTTCCTTCTATAGACGCAGCAAGTTGGGGGGGGAGGAGCAGGAGCCAGTGCTGAGGGGAGCCAGCTTAAAAACTGGTTCCCCCCCAGCACCATCTCCGTGGGGGGGCAGGGAAGGCAGTGGGTAGTGGGGACTGGGCGCAAGCCGGGAATCAGTTGATTCTTGGCTCACACTTAGTCCCAGACGTGCCCCTGCTTTTTAAAAGGATTAAGAGCCGACAGGCTCTTAATCCACTTAGAAGGCTGGTGCACAACGGGAGGGACCATGTGCGAGCTGGGACAGCTGATTCCCAGCTTGCGCTGGGTCCCTCTTGTTGTGCTTTGGCCTCTCAAATGGATTAAGAACCAAGAGATTCTTAATGCATTTAAAAGGCAGAGCTAACCCCGCTGCAGCTCCCCACTAATCAACTAGTCGATGGAAAATCCATTGACTAGTCATTAATTGATTAAACTAAATTTAACATCCCTATTTGTCATGATAGACTTTTATCATATAATAACCATTGGGTCACAGTGGTACTCTAATATGTTTTTAATTTTATCTTGTTTGTTGTAGCCAGGTATTTTATAGACATTTGTAAATGCATACAGTTAATTGCTGTTATATCATAGTTCAAAAGGAAGTGTCTAAAGGTTCTCACAATGTTGTATCATGTTAATGGTAATTAATTAAAACATTAACCTTGGAGAAATCCTGGTTTTTAGGATACTTGGGCAAAACAGAGAATATAATCTGAAATTGATTAACAAATATTGAAAATCTTCAAAATTAAGGACCTTATTTCTTCACTTCTGTAAACTCTTTCAGGCATGAATGAATTACACGTTTACTGCCACTTTAACATACTGTGGTGTACTTAGTTAAAACTTACTGCAGTATAAATTATATTGCTAGATATATTTAGCATCATTTTGATGATTCAAGTCTATTGCTGTAACTGTATGGTATTGGGTGAAGGAGAGGTGACTTGCAAACTGGAAAAAAGCAATAATAAGGTATGTGCTACTGCAATTTGAACAGCTAATCAGTCTGTTTGGTTCAATCCTCTTTCACAAGTTCCTCAGTTTCCCACTCCAGAAGCAGTTGCAGAGTATTGCTTATGGAGAACATAGTTTACCACATTGTTGAGGCAAATTACTTTCATGTTAGAGAGGCCAAATTGCTTTTATGTGAAAATGTTGGGGTATGTGTGTTTAATTCAAATCACTCTTAGGTCTACAATAATAAAAGACTGTCTGATTTCTCCTCCTCCCCCCAATTTTTAGTGCACTTGATCCTCTTAAGGGATAGTCATTTTTGTTTCTTTTCCATAATTATTTACTTCATGGAGACCTTTCCACTGTAGTAATAGTAAAAAATCCTTTAGAAGGAGAGTGTGATTGTAAAACTTCAACTTGAATAAGTTTGTTACCTGAAACTAATACAATAGTTTTTATTAAACTGACTTAATTTCAGATTGACAGTATGGTTCTGCTTCATAAGCTCCACCATGGCAATTCCTTCATTTAGGGTAAAAACTTTTCTTTATTTCTTAATTTAAAATCTGATTATCATTTTTGTTTTCATAGGGCATGTCTAGTCTTCCAGATTATGTAACATTTAAAAGTTTCCCTGGAATGCCACTTCAGCATATCTTCAGTGCAGCTGGTGATGACTTGCTAGATCTTCTCCAAGGTCTATTCATATTTAATCCTTGTACCAGGGTTACAGCTACACAGGTATGGTACATTGTTTTTATTGCATGGTATAGAGTGTGTAAATACTAGCACCTCTTGTTATCCGTTCAATGTCTCTTGGAAACAAGTGATAGTTTAGGTTTGAAGGTCCAACCTGTACCTGGTGAACTTTGAGCTTTACATGTCTTAATATTGGCACTTCTATCCCTTAGTTCATAAACGTTCAAATCATAAATTCATATGAGTATTTCACTATCCTTAGTTTCTGTTGAAACTCTTGACCTGCCTTGGTTTTTATGTTGGTAGCTTGATATGAAAATTCTGGGATCAGCTCTTTGCTGAAAGTATATCTGTGACAACTTTTCTTTTGTCACTTCGGGGTGGGGATAGATCCATGTTTTCAGTACTGATGGGTTCTTCAGTCTCTGTTCTAGGGGTGTAAAAAAGTAGTCAATTAGTCAGGTAGTCCAATCAACTACTGGAGCATTGCTCTCCCTCCTCACCCCCTTGCGGTGGGGGGGGGGGGGGGGGGGAGAGCAGAGTAGGCTGCTCCAGCAGCAGCCCTTGTCCGCAAGGGGTCCCAGCTCCCTGCTGGGACCCCACGCAGACAAGGGCTGTTGGACCCAGTACAAGCAGGGACTGAACAACCCTGTCTCAGTTCCAGCTCATGCTGGATCCAGGAGCTACCCCTGCTGCGGCTCTGAAGTTTAAATGTAGTAGGAGCTGGGCTGCCAGCTCTTGCTACATTTAAACTGCAGAGCCACAGCAGGTGTAACTCCTTCTGAGTGCCTTCCCTTATCAACCAATTTGTATCGACTACACAATTATATTAACTACACGATTACCCAGTTACCCATGTCCTAACTCCTTACTCTGTGCTATAGGAAGCAGAGTTTTGATTATTAGGGCTGACTTTCCAAATAACTGCTCTCACCAGGAAGTGATGACTTAAAAAACAGGGGCTTGTGATGGATGAGCTATTATATATAAGCTTCCAGTGTGATGCTGTGGCCAGAAGAGATCCAGACTGCTCAAAATAGCTAGCTGCTCTTTGTAGCCCTCTGCTCTGGGGAACGGGGAGGCTTTGCATGCTGTCCCCACCCCAGCAAAATCTCAATTCTCACTGGGCCATTTGTGAACTGAGAAATTTTGTTGGGGGGAGGGGAGAGGCAGGGAAGCGCACACAGCCCCTCTCCTCATCACCGCCACCCCAGCACCTGGAGCAATGAACCACCCGGAGCAGCCAGCCACTTAAAGGCATGGGGCTGCTCTACAGCAGTTGGCCCCGCTCTGTGCCTGAGGGTCCCAGTGGGGCAGCTTGCAGGCTGGATCAGGTGACCTGTGTGCTGGATCTGGCCCATGGGTCAGATCTTGCCCATCCTGATATAAATGGTGCAAGTGAAAACAGATCAAAGTAAGTTACTAAATCAAAATAAACAAAACTCACCAGCTACTCCTAATCCATTATAACAGGGGTTCCCAAACTTTTTGACACGGGGACCAGTAAATCCATTCACAAACTTTTGGAGGACTAGTAATGTTTATTTACATATTTGCATGTTCATTAATCAAATGATGAATATTTAAATAAGTTGTTTCTGGTCCTCCCAAAACCCCCACTGCCAGCTTTAGCAAAGCTTTTTGATACAGTCACCCACAATATTCTTGCCAGCAAGTTAAGGAATATGGATTGGATAAATGGACTGTAAGACAGACAGACAAAGCTGGTTAGACCATGGTTTCCCAAACGTCTTACTTTAGTTGGAACCCCCCTTTTTTTTTTTTTTTTTTTTGTACTGCTTTTTGCAGCCACAAAATATAAACACACAAAAAACAAACTGAGAAAATACCAGACATAGAACATGTCTTGTATTTTCTCATTAGGTAAGTTGTATTATTACTAGATGTATCAGTTTGTAGTTTCGAACTGCCTGGCTGGTAAATGTGTTCAGGCTGCATGAGTGTGTCTACTAGCCAGACAGTTTGCAACTACTTGAGAGGAGTGTGTGTGGGGGGGGGGGGGAACAATAGAATCCCCGGGCTGGACTAACTCATCCTTTGTGCTTTGTGGAGGGAACGGGGGCAGCACCCCAAGATCGACATATGGCCGGATCAGTCCCATTCCCCACAGGCCGATTCATTCCTCCCCCCCGCTGCACCTCTGGCCAGCCCCACTTCCCCCAACACCCTCCTGGGCAGCCAGTTCTCCTCCGCTTCTCCTCCCAATCTCCCTTGACCAGCCCTCCTTCCAGACAGCCCTGCGCCCCGCATCCAGCCCCCCTTCTGGCGGCCGCTTCACCCCCTCCACATCTTCCCTGGCCAGCTCCCTGCCCCCAGCCTCGCACCCCCTGGCAGCCCTGCTTCCACTGGCCCCCCAATCTCCCCAGCCTGCCCTGATTCCCCCATCCAGTGCTGCTTCCGGTGGCCAGCTCTCCCCTCCTCCTCACCCCAGAATCCTCTGGCACCTGCACCTTCCCTTAGCCCTGCACCCTCCTGGTGCCTCCCCCTTCCCTTACTGCTCCTGCCCCCTTTGCCCTCTTTTTCCCTAATACCCACCCCTTCATCACTCTCTGCCCCATTCCCCTCCTGCCCCTCTGTGCCCTCACACATACTTGCTCCATCCTGGCCTTCCTCATGCCCACCCCAGCCTTCTCTTCAAGCCTTCTCTCAGCACCTCCTCCTCCAGCCCCCAATGCCCTTCCCCTTTCCTCTCCTCTCCCAGCATCACCCTGTCCCTCCTCCCACTGACACCTCCCCTCCTGCCCTTTCCCTCATTGTCTGCACTTGGCCCCCTGGCATTTGTGTCTCTCTCCTGCACCCCGTCCCTTGGTGCCTTCCCCTCCTCCCGCCCAAGCCCCTTCTCCTTCCGCCCAAGCCTGTTCCCTACAGTTAAAGTCTTTATAGTGCTACTAGACTATTTGTTGTTTTTTAAAGTATTTAGGAAATTGTACGTTTTAAACGATGTCACATGAGGTATTTTGTCTTCACATTCATATTCATAACCCACTTTTCATCAAGCTTGGGGGGGACTGACACTCATAAGTTATAAGCAAGCAGATTTTAAAAAAAGGAAAGAGAATAGCTTCAAATCTGTTTGGTGCACACTATTAACTTAACCAACTTTCTCCCTTTACTATGTTTAAGGCACTGAAACAAAAGTATTTTAGTAATCGACCAGGACCAACACCAGGAAGTCAGTTGCCACGACCAAACTGTCCTGCAGAAGCCTTAAAAGAACAAAACTCACTTTTAAATTTAAAAAGGAAGAGAGCAGATGGAATAGAACAAGGTAATTTTTCTTCTAAATCTGCATTTTTATATTTTTGAATTTTAAAATGATGTATATGATGTTGTTCCAGCATTTAAGGAAATATGATCTGTGTATAATCTATCTTATCAAACATGATATTGCGCTCTAAATTGGCCATATCAGAGCCAATCTCAGACCCTTAGTTACTTGTAGTATTTTTTTACAATAAATGTATATTGTAAAAAGAAACCTCTTATTTCATGTGTTACAGAAGATTTTCTAAATCCTAGATCAGAAGCTCTTCCAGTATACTGTATCTAATGCCTCTTATCCTATGACTGTTACCTGATTTCAGAAGTTCTCTTAAATCCTTACATAAAGTAAATCACTTACATCTTATTTGGTGAGACATTTGATAGAATTCATTGGAAATTCTGAGCATTTTTTGGACTCTGATGTACATTGAACATTTACTTCTCCGGGATGTACATTCTTAGTATTGTAGACAAACTTCATACCACTCCTGGCTTTGGCATATTTTTGTGTACTGTAGAATGTACTAACTCAGATCTTGAGCTTGGAGAACCTTCTGGACAGCAGTGTCCTCTGGTACTTCATAAGCAAAGTCTTAGAGTACCAGATTTGTTGAGCAAGACTAATGATGACACAACTTCCTCCACTTCATTTTCTTTTTTCTGTGTTTTCCTGGCTGAAAATCTATGGATCTTGTTCCCTGTGTCTACAACTCTACTCATTTTTCTTAAATTGTGCACTTTTTAATCATTTGAGTCAGGTCTCTGAAATTTCAGACATGGCAGGCTTAAGCAAATTTCCATGTTGCCCTCAACAGGGAAGATAATACTGTAGTGTAAATATACCCTAAGTTCTTTTATGGCTTTTTTCTGAGTTTTAACAAACGGTAGGAAGGCAGTTTAATTTGTTGTACCTGTAATGTAGAACAGGCCAAGATATTAATTCTTCAGAGCAGTGGTAGAGAGAACCTTTGTCTAAAACTCCTTGTGCAGTTGGGCATTAAATAAGTTGTTGAGTATGACTTGTTTGGCCCCATTCACGCTACTGTTTTTAAACAAAAAACCTCAGTTAATCTGTTATGTGCTAGGAGACAGCCATGTTTTAGTATAGGGGTGGCCAACCCATTTAACAGAGAGCCAAAACAGCGGTGGAAAAAAATGCAAAGAACCACACCAGAATTAAGTGTAAAAAAAAAAAAAAAAAAGCCCCCCCCCCCCCACCCCCAGAACAGAATTGTTGACAAACACAATTTTAATTTTTTTTAAAAAGGAGGCTGTCCCTTTAAGACGGCCAACATCTTGGGTGTCATTTTTAAAACCCCACAGCTTCAACCCAGTAGGCACAGGGAGGCTGCAGGGAGCCCGTGGGGGCCTTTTGGGAGAGGGAGGTGCAGGAGCAGCTTCATGAGCTGCACTTCTGGGGAGTGCAAGCCGCATGTTGGCCATGGCTGTTTAGTAGGTTACACTTGTAGTGTAGGGTAGCCTCAGGGAAGAGGAATGGAGTAGTGCTGCTGAGTCAGGATCAAAATTATAGTTTAATAAACCCCCCTAAGCAGACACTGAAAGGATCTTCACTTCCTCCATCATAGCAACATGCTGCAGTTACTGTGAAACTAGAAAAACTTACTGTCTTGTTTTTACTTACACTAAAATTAATTTACACTTTTCAGGATTACCAAAAAAGCTAATTTTTTGATTATCGTGGATGATGCCGATTAAATATCTTAAGACCAATGCAATGGGAAAATGCTGCAAGATTAACTGAACTATGATGAAAAGAGAATTTGTAATATATTTACGTGTGTAAAATGTGAAACTTAATATTTCAATGCTGAAACCATATGGAGTGTTTTATTAAACCTATTCCTCTTTGAATAAAAGTATATATTTTTAAAAAGAACAAGACTCTTGAACCAGACAGTTGTATAATTACTTTCTAATGTGGTTGTGTAGTAACTACAGGAAGTGTCCTTTATCGTGATAAGAGTCTAACTTAAGATGCAGGCATTTGCTAAATGAAATGCTGTGCTGGTGCAAACCTTACTGGAGTTGGCAACCTATGGCTCATTAGAGAGCCAAATAGTTCTCTCTTGCAGCTCCAGCTCAGTGCCCCACACACACACCTCCCCCCAAAGCAGGGAGACTGCACTAGGACTCCAGCCTTATCATCCCCTGCAGAATTGGAGTGTCAGCTTCCTGCAGAGAGGCAGGGGGAGGCTGCACACACTGCTGTTTCCCTTCCCCCAACTAGGAGAATAGCAGTGCAGGGAGTCGCTTCCTGGAGGCTTTTCCCACTGCTCTTATTGGCCAGATTCTGCGGAGGACATGTCTGTAACGCAGTGCAAAAGCAAGTAAGTGCTCCCTCACTCATCCCCCTCCACAGAGACCAAGCATCCTCAGCCCCCTCACTCACCACCTTGCCAAGACCCTGCACCCCCAGCCTACACTTGCCCTCTACCTGGCCAGACACCCTATTCCCAGCTGCTCCTGCATCCTCCCCCCCCCCCCCCCCCCTCCTCCCAGCCTGCTCCTACACCCTACCTACCAGACCTTGCACCCTCACTCCCTCCTGTAACCCTATCCCACTCACTGGCAGCTCTGTCCTGCACACTTAACCCCTCATTGTTGGTCCCGCCCCAGAACCTGGGGGGTGGGTACTAAATCCACTAACCCTGCACCTCTGGAAGAGTAAGTCTGGCCTTGAACCTCAGTCCTCCCTGCCCTTTTCGCCACCATGGGGAGTGAGGTGTTTCAGTTGGGGGCAACATCCATGAGGGTAGCGGGTTTTTGTGGGGGAGGCTTGGGGGTGTGTGGCAGGGGTGGGGGAAATGTTAAACAAATAATGTTGAAACCTTTCATATTGGACATATTTTACTTATTTAAAAATGAAGCCTAGCCAACAAGCCCCCAATTAGAGCCCCGCCTCCATCTGGTCACCGCATGATAACACTACTACACACCCCAACCCTGTGCCCATTATACACCTGAAGCCCCTTCCCTGAGTCCCTCTTCCCCCACATCCCCAGCTCCCTGCCATAAGGTTGACAGAAGACCGCATGAATGTATGCATGAAGATGGATTTGACCAGGTATGATGTAAACTTCAAGAAAATGCAAAAAGTTTGGCTCTTTGGTTTGAAAAGGTTGCTGATCCCTGCTGTAGGAAAAACACTTAGGGCAGTAGTTCCCAACCTTTTTGGGTGGTGGGCGCCGCACGGGGCTGCCGGGCCGCCTGGGGGCAGGGCCACGCGTGTGCTGGGCGCCCAGGGGCAGAGCTGGGCATGCGCTGCGCGCCTGGGGGTGGCGGCTAAGGCCATGCATGTGCCGTGCTCCCGGGGGTGGTGCTAGGCGGGCACATACATGCCCCAGCAGGCGCCATGGCACCCACGGGCACTGTGTTGGGGACCCTGACTTAGGGGAATGCCCTGTGTGCAGATCAATATCTAAGTCTGTAGACAGGTGTCCTCTTCGGTCACCTGTACTAGACACAAAGGGATGCCAAAGTGTTTTACCATCATTCCAGTTAATTCTGAACAAATGGGTGAGCATGTGTTCTTAGAGCAGACACAAACACTTTTCAGGGTGTATTCCTGGGGAGTTGTGAAACACAAAGGGTTACTCTATTTGATCTGCCAAGAGAACTAAATTGTTGGAATGAAGAAATACTAATATTTGGAAAAAAAATGTTGCAGAAATGAAATATGAAGGCGTTGCAGTCTATAGAGCTGCACTACTTTTTTTTAAAAGGACTAGAGGGATGGCTGAAGAGTAGTGTAGCAGACCTTGATATGATGCTGCTTATGACTCACATTTGGACCAATGTAATGGTTATGAAACTGAGTACAGTACTTAGTCATCCCAAGAAAACATTAGGAAGAAATCATTGTATTTCCTGTCTCACTGTATATCGATCACTACTGCCTTGAAATTAGCTTCAGCTGTCCTCCAAGACTTAATGGACAGCATATGTAGATAGAAATTCGTATTTAACATTTGATTTAAAATTGACGTTCTGTTCAGAAGTTACTTTAGCCTGAAAACAACCTCGTTATACATGTCTAATAACTAAACAATTACAGGGTCAGCATTCTGAGGGAACAAATGGTTGTGCAGTCTCATTTGTAGCAGGCATATATTCAAATACACTTCCCTGAGGTCACACTTTTATGCTTATAAGAAGCATAGGGGATCTTTTCTTGGGGAAAAGGCAACATGCCACATTCAGACAATACAGCTTTATAAATCAACATACGCATCCATTTTTATACACACAGTAGATCAGGGGTTCCTAATCTTTTTAATACCATGGAGCAGTAAACCCATTCACAAACTTTTTGGGGGGACCAGTAACACTTTTCTTTGCATACAGCTGGCTTCCGCTCCTGCAGCCACCTGTCTTGTGGCCACTGAGCTTAAATTTCACAGTAAAAGGAGACAGACTGCAAAAGTTAAATCGACCGCATTTATATGATTTTTCTATTACCTGAAAAGCCCTGCAAGCTAAGCTATCCAGTCAATATGTCACTACAAAGCATGACACAGGCCACAGAAAGGGAAGCTTCCACATCACGTAAATTGACAAGTATCCGGGATCTCTCAGACCCAAAACACAATCAGATATTTTTATTTCCCTTAATGCATACGGTATTTGCAAACAAAATGGTACTATGCGGATATACATTGTATATTTATGTACTGACAAATAGTGGAAAAGCCTTAGCAAAACATACTGCTGCACTGAAGTGGTTAATTTATATTTAAGAATTCTATAGGTGTGGCTAGTACGCTGTCTTCAGAAACAATAACTCACTGTGTTAATTTCACCACAGCTGCATGTGATGTGCTTCTAAAAATTAACAAAATAAATACATCACAACTTTCTCCTGTCAGTGTGAGAACAACATCCCCATCCCATCTCAAACACATGCTAAGGGCTTCCTATGAAAAACGCATTTAAAAACTTATTCATTCATTGTAAATACAATTAAAGAAATAACACTCCCAAAAAGAGGAGGAAAAAAATCTGGAGTTTGTAGCATTTGTGAATTATGGATTTTTTCATGTAAGAGAAACATGAACAGCCTCGCAGGACTAAAAGCATGTTGTCATTACACCTGAGCAGACAATTATGTTGATAGGACTTTATTTGAAGTAACTGATGAGTTTTATTGGAGTATAACCAGAAGGTAAACATGCATGAGTCTAATCCCAGGAAAGCAAATGACTAAAGCACTTTTTCAGTGTAACCTGCATGGACGCAGAATAAGTAAAAGCTGAACTCTAAGGCTAAGGCTATGGCTACACTGTAGCCTTCTTCTGGAAAAGCTTATTCAAATGTAGTGTGATGTGGAATATCGCTGTGCTTCAGTTGCATACTTAATTTGCAGCTGCTTTTGTGCAAAAAAGAGCTGAATAGACAGGCTCCTTTTTGCTCAAAAACTCCCTCTTGCGCAAGAGCCATTCTTCCTCATTTTTTCAGGAAGAATGGCTCTTGCGCAAGGAACCCAAAGTCCCATGGCAATGTACCCTATTTTATAGTTATAACTCCCCATTTCAGTCTATGGATTTTGCAATGTCATGTTGTAATTAATTACTCTTTAACAAGTGTTTATCAAAAGGCTGTTGGTGTAGTTATCCTTCATTAACATTCTGATGGGTATTGCTGGGAGTTGCCACACTTCTGGTTTTGATTTGAGTTGGTTAACTTGTCCTTTGGGGGTACATTCCTCAGCTCCAGAGTTGTCAATCTGCCCCTTATCTAGCATTGTGCGTCTGTTCAGCTCCAGAGTTCTGACAATCCCCTTTTTTTTCTGAGTCTCTTACTCCTCCTCAGCCCTCTCTGGGCATAGTGGTGGGTGCCTTCACTCTTTATCATTTTACATGCATGCGTCACTCACACAAATTAGTAACATAAGACAGTAGCTTTGTAAAGATTACCCCATTTCTCACAATACAAGTAGCAAAAAACCCAAAATTCATAAAACAAAGAATAAGAACATCCTCTTAAAGATAAACAGTGACCATAGTAAGTCAAGGACTTTTCTGGTTTCTGACTGCCTCAACCTCAGGGTAGGCACTGACAGATGCATCTTTTCCAACAGCCTTCAGCCATTCCTTTCCGCTTGTCAAAAAGAGTGGCTGGCAGAATAAAGAAAAACATACAGCATTACTTATTCTGATATTTCATTATCTTTTGAATTTCTGTTCACCTAAACAACCTTGTATTACATTAAAACTACTTGCTACACTATATTACAGCACAACTCTGTGTGGGAAGAGAGGTGTAGAGTGTTGGAAGTACTAAGTACTATACAAACTCCACTTCCCTATAATGCACTACAAGATGTGGAGGAATTGCTGCAGATGCCCACGAACCTGAAGACATTGCCATTGCTAGGAGGTCAGTTTCCCAAGAGGAAACATCCTCTGCTGAAATAGGTTATGCCTCTTGACACTCCTATAGTTTGGAAAAAAGCCTGATTAAAAGGGGCCCTGCCAATTGAAATGTGGAATGTAGGTAACAGCATATTGAGGTGTCCCATGAGCACCAGTGAATTTGAGAGTCAGTTGGCATGTAACAGTGGGAGAAGAGTAGTGGGGCAGGTACAGCATCTTCTCCAAGTTTCTTTAGGGGAGCAGGGAACTTTTCATTCCCTAGGAAGCTTGGCAAGAAGGGCAGCGGTCTGCTTGGAGGAATCTTAAATCAAAACAAGGCCTTACCAAATTCATGGTCAATTTTAGTCAATTTCACCGTCACGGGGGACTTTCAAAATCATAAATGACATGATTTCAGCTGTTTAAATCTGATTTTTATAGTGTTGGAACTCTAGAGGTCCTGACCCAAAAGGAATTGGAGGGGAGGGGGCACAAGTTTATTGTAAGGGAGGGAGTTGCAATAATGTTACCTCTTATTTATGCACTGCTGCTGCAGAATGCCACCTTCAGAACTGGGCTCCTGGCCAACAGCATCACTCTCTAGCCACCTAGCTCTGAAGGCAACATAGAAGTAAGGGTAACAGTACTGCTCCCAGCCTAAAATAACCTGGTGATCTTCCTCCAACTCCTTTTGCAACAGGACCACCAACTAAGAAATGCTGGTCTCCCCATAAAATCTGTAATGTGTGTGCTTTTACCCAGACCAGTTTTCACAGAGGGAGGGAGACCAGATTTCACTGTCTGGAATGTGTTTTTCATTGCCATGAATTTGGTAGGGTTTATTCATAGGGTGAAGGCACTTGGAGAATACTTACAGCACCACTGCTAGGTCAGCTGTGATAGGAGATGTCTCCTTTTGGCAGGAATCTTCACCTCATTCTCAATAAGGGGCCTAGTTGCTATGTCTCAGTGGAAGGGTTCCCCCAGTTTGTAAATCAGTGGAATAGGATCTCCATCACTTTTCTTCCTCCTTTGGATAGATCTTCACTGTAGAAGATATGTGGGAATCCATGTTTAACCCTAGAGCTGATTGGGAAGGGGGGCTTGTAGTTTTAACATTGAAGTTGGTCAAGGTGAACCTAGGTTCCTTGCTGGGTTTCACTTGATCAGTTGCATGGTCTTCTGTAAGATTTTAAAACTAATTAGCTTAATTTAACTAGGACAAAGCCCTCAAGCAACCCAATCCTTCATGTTCAGAAGGACAGGGTAAGAATGAGTGCCTACCAGTGTGACGGAGTGTAACAGCTGGGAGCCGGGCTTTGTAGATGGTATGAGGGTTGCTGAAGAGGGTTACTTCTTTTGAGCAGTGGACAAGGTTAGGGAGAGAGTCTGGGTGGTGAATAGATATATCTGATAAATATGCTCTTGTGAATTAAATCAAATATTTGGCCAAATGACTATCTGAATTTCCCATTCATGCTGGAACATCCTTGACTCCACTGAGCTAAGTAAGGATCGAAATAACAGCTGCTGGTTTGAGTAGTTCAGAATGCAGAAAACATTGTCCTCGTTCTGCATGTGTAAGCAACAAGTAGCCAGAACCAGTTTTTCCCTTGCTGCAGCTCGTAATAAAACTGCCTCTGGCTACTTGTTGCTTACAAACGCAGAGTGAGGACAATGTTTTCTTCCACAGCACCAATGATCCTTCTGAAGACTCCAGAGAAGCAGACTGATCTCTCACATTGGGAAAGAACCCCTGGACTTGTATGCTCATCAAAACTCCTGAAGGAAAGTTTAGTTCCCACTGTGGAAGTTTGCTTTTACCACTGGCAGTGTAAACTTACAGGACAGGGAAATGAGGTCCCTTAAAAGGCCAGCTTGGTGGAAATGGGAAGAGAAAACTATAGTGGTATGGGTTAAATGCATGGCAATAAAATAGTGTTTCAAAATAAGATAATTGTAATGGAAGGACTGAATGAACGAGAGCATAACTATCCAAACCTGTACTGCACAACGCAATAACTTCTTGACAGAAACTCTTGCCCTGCTCAGTAAATAATTGATGGGTAAACTGACTTCCCTGTTGCAGTGTTAGGCATCACAGTATCATAATTAACATAGTTACCTCACTTTTCTTCATCTCTCTTTCTCTCCGCACAGAATGTGACTTTAAGTCGAATAACTGTAGAGTCTATAAAATTAAGTGAATAGGAGCAGCAGTTCTGAAAACCAGAACACTTTTTCAGTGTCAAAGTTTGAAACCCTGTGTAGTTGTCACATTGCTAAGTCTTTTCAGACCCTCAGTCTTGGAGACTAGTGACATGTTATGGGACTAGTCTCAGTTTCTCCTTATGGCTGAACAAAGACCATGCCTAATAAAATCTGGTGTGAAATTATGAGAAACAGTTCACCAGTATGGTGTAAAAAGCTTGAGCACCTGCATTTACCCTCTTTCTTGCCATCAAAAAGTATTCCATTGCTGATGTAAAATATTGACACGAGACAGTGTTTCTACCTCATGCAAATAATGTGCTTTTGCCTCTGCCCGTGGAGTGAATGCCTATGATATTGAAAACGGAGAAACTGAAGCACCCAGGAACTTGGATGGTAGCTAGTGGAAAGTGCTTTGGACAGCAACACTAGAGATCATGAGTTTTGGTCATTGCTCCTGATAATATTCCTGTGCCCTATAAAAACCCTTATAATAAGGTGAAGTTTTAATCTTTGGAGGCAACATTCTTCAGAGAAGATAACAGAGCCTTCACATGGTTACTTCAAACTAAACTATGAACAGAAACAAAACCATTAATATACCAGTATCAACTCTCATCTACTTTTGGCAGCATCTTTCAGAAGGAACATTTCAAATAACATACTTGTGTAACCTATGCTAAAACACAGTGTGGCTTAACCATGTATAGAAGTCTGGGTGCCCCTTCTTATGTACTTGGAGATCTATGATTTTAGCTAAAGGGTAGGAACTTGCACTTTTTCCAGACAGAGGGCTCAGGTTCAGATCTCAGCTAATCCAACCACAACTGCAGGAAAAAGGCGTTATCTTTCAGTGATACAATCTGTAACCACTAAACTACAATCTGACCAAGGAGGCAGGAAAACAAGAATTCTGAGGCCTAACATTCTGCTCTTTCCACAGGTATTTATCCAACCCTCTGGCAACACGTGTGATGCTGTTCATATAATATGTATTTCCCACTACTGGTTACTCCAGTAGCTAGGGTGGATGTTATCTGTGCTATAGATCTGAATAGTTAAAACCCTACTATTGCCAAGCCCAGGTTTCTGAAAATCATGAAGCAGACTCACCAAAAATCATGGAAAGTAATCAGAGGCTGCTGTGTTATTAATGGAAGGGGTCTGGGATGAAGTTTGGGTACAGGAGGGAGCTCTGGGTAGGGGACTGGAATGTTGGAGGGGGTGCAGGTTCTGAGAGGGAGCTTGTATTCAGGAGGGGTTCTGATTTAGATCAAGGTGGGAGTTTGGATGCAGGAGGGCATTGTGACCTAGGGTGTGGGAGAGGGTGCGGTGTGGGAGAGGGTGGGGTGCCAGGTGCAGTCTCTGTCTGGGAGGTGCTTACTGTAGGTGGCTCCCAGCCAGCAACCCAGCAGAACTCTCAGAGGGTATGTCTACACTACATGGAACGAGGTGTACAGCTAGTTCGGAAGCCGCGCGGCCGGCTTTATGCAAATGAAGCCCGGGAAATTCAAATCCCGGGCTTCATTTGCAACTCCGTATGACTACATTACCCCCCCCTAGTTCGAACTGGGGGGTAGTGTAGACATACCCAGACAGGCTCTCTCACTGCAGTGGCCCCACACACTGCTCAAAGCGGCCAGCTGCTGGGGCAACCATGTATGTGTGTCTGTGCAGTGCATCCTTTGGGAGAAGAGGGCAGCAGGTCTCTGCATGCTGCACATGTCCACAAGCACTGTCCTTGCAGATCTCATTGTCCAGTTTCTGGCCAATGGGAGGCTTCAAGGATTATACTGGGGTGGGGACAGTGCATGGAGACACCCCCCCTTCCACCAAGGGATGCACTACGCAGAGACATATGCACTAGAATCAGCCGTTGGCTGCTTTGAGTGGCATGTGGGGCTGTGGCAGACAGGGAGCCTGCCTGAGGGTCCTACTTGGCTCTGGCGGACTGCATCCAAATGTTTAGTGGGCTGATTCCAGTCCATGGGCCGTATTTTGTTTGGCCCTGGGCTATAGCTTAATGGATCATCAAAAGTGGCTATCCCTCTCAAACATATATAAATGCCAGATGTCAGATCTGTTCTAGAAGTTATTTTGGGGCGGTTCTATGGCCTGTGCTGTTCCGCAGGTCAGACTATGTGATCACAATGATAACGCCTGGCCTTAGAACCTATGGCCATCTTATTCTGTGAGCTTTATTCCACATTATTTGTAATGGGGGTTTGTGGAGAAAGAACTTGTCATAAACCAGGACACTTTGGTGGACAACAATTCTGTAGAAGAAGGGGTTAATCCATCCCTTTTAAGTAAGAGCCAACATCTGGTTAGCAGAGTGGATTTGTTCTGTGCATCTTGTGTAGATAAATTGTTTTCAAATGCAATCTATCCTCCCTGGTGGGAGGCCAACACACCTCTCTTTGCAAACTTAATGGCTCCAGTCCTGAGATAATTGACTCTTAACACCACTTGTATTTGAGTAGCCTCCATGCACTGTACTGTAGTATTATCTCTTGCCTTTCCCTCCCAGTCAATTTCAGGTTTCCCTTTGAGAGAATGAAATGGAAAAACCCAAGAACAAAAACACATGCTCTCTCTGGTCACAGAAGTGCAAAGTGATCATGCTTTATTTAAATCCTCTTGCTTCATCTTTGAATTTCATTCCCACTGTATCATCCTCCTAACTGAAGTAGCTTTTTATTCCATTTGATAAAAAGGAACAAGGAATGGTCTGAAGAGCTAACTTTGGAGGCTAAAACAATGGATTTACTCTATTTCCTGGCAGTGGACAGTTTTTAAAGGCAGCAGATTGCTTTGGTTCAAAACAGAGCACCAGGCCCTGAACAGGACAACCAAGGAGTTCCCGATTCACTGCTTCCCCCAGTAAAGTCCCTGGTAATTAAATTCTCCCCTTCCTCACTGGCAGATGACAGAAATCTTGCCTCAAAATTAAGTCTGCCCTTGTTGGAAGGCACTTGGCTGGTGTGGTGAGCTGCAACTTCTATCTCTCTCTAACTACTCTGGATCATTTCTGGAACCTGGCTAGATGGCATGAGGAAACTCTCTGGTTAATATTTTTGCCTATTCTCCTCCATTTGTTCTATAGTCTGAAAAGTCAAACAATAATGCTATAGTTCTGATTATACTAAATCTTCCTAAACCACCTGAATGTTCTAGTTGAGATGTAATTAGGTTTGCTTCTGTCGAGGACTCAAACCCAGACGGCTTTGGTTCGTTGTCTGACCACAAACAGACAGGCAACACCAGCAAGGTCCAATCACAAAGCTCTTTATTGAAGAGTGCACATACGAATAGAGAGCGGCCCGTTTCCACCGAGAACCAGCCACAGTTTCAGTAACAAGTAGGTTTATATAGACAGTTCTGTCGCGTCATAGACTATTCACTCAAGCAACCCACTCCCCCCACTTTATCAATTAGAAACTTTTAATAGTCATGCATACCTTAGCCAACTATACAATGTGGTCTTTGTTACACTTTGGTTCTGTGATGTGATGGGAGCCTCAAGGGTTAAAGCCAACTACCCAGTGAAAACTACTGGATGATGGTGAAACAAATTATTTTTATTAAGTGGAATGATTTTTTTTAATCAAAACTAACAATTAGCAAATGGTTTTTTAAACTAGCAATTGCTCAATACTTTTACAGCGTAGAAAACCCTAAACTTAGCTGTACTTAACTAATTACAAACTTCTTTTATTACAATTCAACTATACCAAATCACTGTCTCTAATTTGCTTAACGAAAAATACAAAAACAAAGCCAATATAATGATAATAAAAACTCTATCCAAAACCAGCCCCTCTATGGTTATCTTAGGGCAGCTGGTGGAGTTAGTTATAAATCTACTTTTACAACTTAACAACTCCCGGGCTTCTATTTCTAACACTTATACTTAGCCTAAATACAACACTACTACACAACACATGATTATACAATTTACACAGTGTGGTTAACAGAACTTAGATACACTTTACAGAATTACACAGTGAAATTAACACAATTTAACTCTTAATTAAACCAATAACCATACATTTAAGCAATACTTACAAATCCAGCAACGATAACAACACAAAGACATACTAGAACTCGGAGCATGCTCAGGACTCGTGCACCCCTATCTTTGATTCGAAGGGTGGGGAGGCAGCCTCAGGGTGATCAGTCCTTTAGCTGGGCAAAAAATAAGATACGTGCCCTCAATACACGGAACCTCCATCAAACAAAGGGGTTGAGGGTCTTTTTATACAAAATTTCAATGTCTAATGCCATGCTACGGTCTGCATTTGGCAGGGCCTGATAGGCTAGTGATGAGGTAGTATGACAATACTGCCCTATAGGAATTTTTGTGATGTATGCGTGATCCCCTCGTGGACAGGACCAGATGGGGCATGGTTAGTGTGAGACAGTTGTGTTTTATTACCTTATGTTTTCTTTTTCTCTTGCCTCTAAGACCGGTCAAGCTATGGTCAAACGAGGCTTATCTGTAAATGCAGCTAGGCGCTATCTAGTCATGCTCACCTCCCTGTTTTCTGGTGCCTGTGAGTCTCAGGATGCCTGTAAGGTCAAATTCTATTCACAAAAACTGCATTGTGCTTCCCATGCTCCTCTGAGTACAGTCTGGGTTTTTTGTGAGGGGCCTTGTGTGGCAGGATGGGCTTTACGCGAAGGCCGTGGACAGAAAAAGCCTGCTTTACAACAGCCTTAAGCAATTCATAATGCATCAGCAACTTTCTTATCAGCACAGGAGAGAAGTAGCAAAAAACCAGGGAGACAGGGAGTTAAGAACAGAGAACAGAAACAGGGAGTTAGGACAAGGAGTTTCCTTATCAGTTTTCTAAGCAAGCTGTTCCCCCAGCACCCCAAGTACAAGAATGCAGCTTTTCACTTATCTTACTTTTTGCAGCTTAAGCAAGTATCTAAAGTATGCCCTTGCTTAAACCATGTTTTAAGTTCTGCTCAGGGAATACCCAGAACCCTTTGTTAGCCTCTTTTCGGTCTGTCTTAGCATAACTGCTCTAGGCCCAATTTTTTGTGGCCTAACACTTCCTCATTGAGCTGTGGACACTTTCACCTATAAACCTTCATATATTTTTCATAGCAAATGGCTTGATATATTTTCACCTATAAATATAGCAAAACCTCAGTACTCAGCTGGGTAGTTACGCAGACTCTAGCTGCAAAAGGCATTTTCTACAAACGTTCACTGTTCCTCACACTGGTTTACAACCTGCTGTTAACAGTATAGGGAGCCCTATTTTAGGTGGGCCATTGGCTTTATCAGTGTCCCGTAACCCTGCTCATGACAGGTTTAACTTTTACTAAAGTAGTTTGAGCCAAACAAGGAGCACAGAAGCGCATGCAGTGACTGCACTCAGTTCCTCAGGTGTAAGCTTTTATTTTAAAAATATTTCTGCTTTTCATGGCTGGTAAAGACCCAGTGTAACCCAGCAGCAGGCAGAGTCAGTTAAAGCCCATTCTAGGTTGTGTGGCAGTTTGTTAATTGGTATGAGCGGATGTACAATAATCACTGGCAGCCATTGCTCAGGGAAGCCCTTGTTTTGCTTGGGATGCCCATTTCGTCTCCTTGTTTGGTCTCTGATCTATGAGAGCTGCTCCACCCTTCACCCAGGCTAGAAAGTGACAAATACATTCAAGCGTTTGTGGCAGTTGGTGAGAATGGCAGCTTTCTTTAAAAAAAAAAAGAAAGAAAGTCCACAATCCCACCAACCCCCATTCCTGGCTGCAGATAAAAGTTTGAAAATGTGACCCCTAAAGGCTGAAGATCCAGAAAGCAAATACAAATGAACCCAGCCTTCTTTTAAAACCCATAATTCTTGGAGCCTGACTCATGCTGTTTTTCAACAGCTAGGCCTGCCAATAGAGTTGAAGTAGGAGAGGAGAATCAGAAAAAAACAAACTTAAGGAAAAAGCCTGAAACTGTTAGTGCTGCTGGTGAGTACCGGAGAGGCATTGGAACTGAGAGTGTGTTGTCCTCTGAATGAGCCCGGTGGGCCTGGCTAGGTCTCCACTAGAGACCTGAATCTTTAGGACAGCACTAACCTGCTATCAGCAAAGCAGGTCCCGCTCTAAATATTCTGGTTCAGTTAATATTTTTTCCATATCCTCAGCTGTGCTAAATTCCTGGTATGATTCCTTGAACTAGTGACTTTTAGATCCCTAGAGGCTTTCTGGAAGCCATCAGAAACCTCAGAGGTTTATGGGAGATGTGGTCCACAGTTCCCAGGGGAATTCCCTGAGTCACCACATGCTGATGCATATCCATTTGGTCACACTAACTTTCTCTAGAGTAGACAAGCTCTATGTGACCATCATGGGCAGTGGGTATAATAGGCCAGGGGAGGCTGAGCTTCTGGTGCTGCCACTGCCACCAGATGCCTGGTTGTGAGGTTTGGTGTGGGGGTGAAATTTTTGCTTTATTATGCCCCATGCAGGCTCTGGGGCAGCTAAGGAGGCTGTTTGTGCTGTTCAGCTTCCTGGGTTTATCAGTAACTCCAGGGAGATAACTGATGAACCCTGGAAGCTCAGTAGCACAAACTGTCTTACTGCCTCCTCAGCCACCCTGGAACCTGCATGGTAGTTTCTTTGGGGGGAGATACAATGTGACTGGCCTGGGGCTCCTCTGTATGGGGAGAGAGGGGCCTCAGGACACCTCTGCTAGGGAGGAATGAGGGGTTGGGGGCTTCAACTGGTCGTGGCTCCTCTGGGCCAGGGGAAAGGAAGGAAACTTGTGGTTCTGGCCATGGTGTGCAGAGGGGGGTGAGGGAAGGAGCCAGGGTCTTGGGTCTCTGCAGGGGACTTGGGGCTCCAGTCGTGAGGGATAAGGCATGGGCAGAAGGGGCAGAGCTGGAAGCTCACCACCCCGAATGGCGAGGGGGTCCTTCAGCTACCCCTAAGGGGGAGGGGCGATCCACTAGAGTCCTATAGTGACCACCTAGGTGTCAGAGTGTCATTGTCCTGCAGTTCTTCAACAGAGAAAATGCCCACATGAGAGACATTCAGCAAAAGTGTTTGACCAGGAGCTGTTTTTCACAGCCTTGCATAGCCTGATATTCCCCAGTGCTGGAATGTCTCTCCCAGAGGAACCTGCAGTTCTAGTAACAGCCAAGGCAGTTAAATAGCACACTGTGACAGATGGGTCTAATTTGGGCATGAATTGTTACTTTTAAACACACACACACACACACACACACACACACACACACACACACACACGAAATATATAGTCTCTTTCTATGTATATAGCAAAAAAATTTCCTGCAGGATGACAGATTGATGTCATCTGTGTCCTAAGCCACCACTGACACCCACTTCTGCCTCCATCCTCTGCCGCTTGCTTTGGCCAGCCTTGGCGCTGTCCCTTCCGGGCATGGGCTGCTCCAGCTCTAGCTCCCACTTCATGCCCTAGGGGACTGTGCCACCGGGGAGGAGCTGCTGCTGGGGCTGGGTCCCCATCACCTTCGAAGCCCAAACCCCTGGCTGGGTCACCCCGCCTCCCCTGGGGGAGCCACCGCCACAGCCGCACATGGGCAAGAGCTGCACGTGGGTGCTTCAGGGAGGTGGTAGCCATGCGCCCCTTCCCATTTCTGCCAAAGAGTGGGATTAGGATGGGGGTGCAGAATCTGACTGGGAGGTGAGGTGCAGGAAGGAGTGAGGGGGCGGAGTCTGGCTAGGAGGTAGGGTGCAGGCGAGTGGTTGTGTGTAGCAGCCAGAGATGGTGGGGGGGTTGGCAAGAATAGCGGCCAGAGGGCTGGCTGGCAAGCATAGTGAGCGGGGTTGCAGCCCCCAGTTATTTAAAAAATAATTTCCAACCTTTTTATATTGAATTTAACGAGTGCACAAACGATAAAATACACCATAAAAGTGAGCTAATGAGGTGAAACTGGCTAAGAGACAGAAGCACTGTAGTCTGTTTTTTTTTCTTTTTTCTAAATATGACCTAACTGAGAATTTGCCCTTTCTGTTCCTCTCTGAAAAATGTCAAAAGTGCAGATTTTTCCTCCTTGCTTCTGCAGATTTCATTTTCTCCTCTGGCCAGTGTGTTACTGACAGACCGGGTGCCAGCTTGTGCCAGCAAGTCTCTTGCCTCAGCAACACTGACAAAAGAATAGCTGGAAACCGATGTAACTTACATGTGTCTTCTTTGCTAAAACTGATATTAGTGTAGTAGAATAGTTCCCAGATCACCGGGGCATATCTGTGCTGCTCTCCCACAGATACACCCATTCCTCATGTAACCCTTATTTCATCTATGAAAGGGGGACTGTGTGACCCACAGTCTGTGTTTGATGGCCTCAATAACTAATCGCATTGAAGATTACAAATGGTTACTTATCTTCTCTCGTGGTGAGCAATAGCCTTCACTTGGTTAGTGATTTGGAGGTAGAGCCATGGCCTTGTCTTCTCTTCCTTCCCTTTAGGGCACCAAGAACACCCAAAGGAACAGGCTGAAATTTTATTTGTTCCTCTATGTAGGCCATTTAAGGGGGAGTCTTCCAGATATGCCTCTTTCTGCACTTTAGCATATAAATTATTAACTTGCTTCACATCAAACTGTCCTCAATGATATCATGCTAAAGCTGAATTTTGGTCAGTGTCATTTAGAATACACTTCAAGCAGGTTTCAGGCCATGGCAACATGTTGCCAACAGCAATAAAGGGTATACTGCAGGCAATGCTGCCTCTGCCCACAGCAAACTGTAAGGCTAGGTCTACACTGGCCCCTTTTCCGGAAGGGGCATGTAAATTTCATGAGTCGTAGTAGGGAAATGCACGGGGGATTTAAATATCCCCCGCGGCATTTAAATAAAAATGTCCGCCGCTTTTTTCCGGCTTTGAAGTAGGAATAAGAGCCTCCGGAAAAGGGCGCTTTTTCCGGAGGATCGGGGCCAGTGTAGACGCTCTTTTCCGGCTTTTTTAAAAGCCGGAAAAAAGCGGCGGACATTTTTATTTAAATGCCGCGGGGGATATTTAAATCCCCCGTGCATTTCCCTACTACGACTCATGAAATTTACATGCCCCTTCCGGAAAAGGGGCCAGTGTAGACGTAGCCCATTAGTGTTATGAGAATGTGTTTAGTGTTTAGACTTTATG